GTGCGGTTGGCGCAGGATAGAGCAGGGTTTAGGGCTATTGTGCATAGGGTCGCTATGAGTCGGAAACGACTCGACGGCACATAACAACAACAACATTCACATTGTGTTTTATACTGACCATCTTTTTATTTGTTTGTTTTTCTTGAAATGGATGAGAACTTGGAGACCTGGGCCGGTGCTGATGAGTGAAGAAATGCATCAAAGGCAAATAGATTCTAGAGCTTCTGCCCCAGACTCAACGGACCCTCTTTTATGTCCCCACAGGTGTCCCGTCAGGTCCCCGCAACGTCATCTCCATTGTCAACGAGACGTCCATCATCCTGGAGTGGCATCCTCCTCGGGAGACAGGCGGACGGGGTGACGTGACCTACAACATCATCTGCAAAAAGTGCCGCGCCGACCGTCGGAGCTGCTCCCGCTGTGACGACAACGTGGAGTTTGTGCCCAGACAGCTGGGCCTGACCCAGTGCCGAGTCTCCATCAGCAGCCTATGGGCACACACCCCCTACACCTTCGACATCCAGGCTGTCAACGGCGTGTCCAGCAAGAGTCCCTTCCCCCCACAGCACGTCTCTGTCAACATCACCACAAACCAAGCTGGTGAGTCCAGAGTCTTCTCTGTAGCTCCTCTGTGTCCACGTGGCTGGCTCTTTGTGCAGGAACAAAGCTGCAGCTAGGTGATGGGCGTTTGGCATCATGAAGGAGGCAGGTACTGTATCTCACCTGAGTGTCAGCTGGAGATAGGAAGGAGCAAACCTTCTTGTGGCCAACACAAAGGGAAAGACGGATTCTCCTGCAGGAATGTGCTATCATGAATCAGCATATGCAGGGGAAGGATGGCTGAACGTCTGAATGGACAGACATATAAATGGATGGATGGAGGGAGGGTGGGATGGATGGACAGGTGAGTGACGGGCATCCAAGATAATGGATTTAAGTGGGCAGATAAACACAGGGATTGAAGCATTGAAACACCATGAGAACAGAAACACAAATGCTGCTTTAATATAAAAACTCAATGATTGATACTGCCCAGGAAGAATATGACAAACCTTCATAGATATTTTCAATTAAACACCTGTAATTGAGGCAAGCATTCTCCTTTATAGCTTGCTCAGACAAATACTGCACTGTTCTAGAGACCACAGATACATGGTAATGGATCGTTCCTGATAGCCGGTGTGCCCTGTGGCGTACATATCTCAGAGCATACTTCCATCTCTTCTGTTTATTTCTGCAGCCCTTACTCTTCCGCACTCTCCTCTCTCCACCTCTCTTACCCCACACCATTCTTTATAGCTCTTTAACTAGTCCATTCATGCCCTCCCTCCCTCATTTGTTTATCCACTCATTCATTGTTCAGAAATAGTTACTTTGTATCTACTGCATGCCAAGTCGGGGATTAGACACTGTGAAGGGTACAGTGATGCCAGAGCACCATTATTTCTCCCAGGAAGCTAATTAAGGCGAAATTTACAAGACACAGACACAAAGTACAAACCTATAATTCCAAGCACTGGTTGCAGTACACACAGAAGTAAATATCAAGAGAGTTGGAGAAATGAGCAATTGCTCCTCTGAGGTGGCTGCGCGAGGCTGTAGAGGGTTGCTGGCATGTCATCTACCGGCAGTGGGGGTCACAGGCAATGGGCCATGATCTCATTTGGATTATGGATTTTTCTCAGTCAACAGCTTGTTAGTGGAATAGCAACAGCTGAGCGTCTCTTTCCGTGCTCTCTCTCTCTCTCCCCCTCTGTCTCCCCTTATTTGTGGCAGTCTCCTTCCCATTCTCCCCATTTCTAATCTTCAATCTCCCCAGCCTCAGATGCTTTCTGCATCTCCTCATACCGGGCGTCTTTGATGGCAGATGATTCTTAGGTTTAAGCCGTCAGAACTGAGAAGGGAGAAAAAGGTGTTGTCGGAGAGCATGGCCATCCAGATGGCTGCGTTGTGGCTGTGAGCATTTGTGTGTGTTCCTGTGTGCGTGTTTGTATGTATGTGGATGGTCACGTGTTGACATGCACACATGTGTAGTGAGAAAATAAGAGAGGAAATAGAGAAACCTCCAGCTGGTGACCAGAGCCCAGTGCCATGGAGGCAAAGGTTGTGACAGCCTGTCTCGACGAAAGAAAAGAAGGTAATTTCTGCATTATGTTGAGTGTGTAACATGGGCAGCCTTTGTTAACAGCACTTCCTCTGGAGAATTGAAGGCAGAGAACGAACTGAAATATTTCAGGGCTCTAGCTTCTGAGAGTTAACAGTTCCACCAGGCTGTGATACTATGCGGAGCTTGACTATCTTTTCTTTCTCCCCCTCTCCCTCTCTCTCTATCTCTGCCTCTCTCTCTCCCTTTCTCCTTCTCTCTCCCCCTCCCTCCCTCCTTCTCTCTCCCTCTTCTTTCTCTCCCTCTTCTCTCTCTCTCTCCACCTCTCCCTCTCCTTCTCCCTCTCCCTCTCTCCCTTCATCTCTCCCTCTCTCCTCTTTCTCTCTCTCTCTCCCCCCCAACCCGTGTGCACAAAACCTGACACTTAGATAAGTTTCTTTTTATTCCCGCCCTGCCCTGCCCTGCCTCTGTTTCTCCCAGACCTGTCCATCTTCTGGACTTACCATCTGCATCCTCCCAGGCCCCCTCCAGACCAAGGAACCTTTCTTGCCAACATGCAGAATCTGTCAGCATCACCTGTTTGCACCCCCATAAGAACATCTCTCCTTTGTTCTCTTCAACTCTCAGCCCGTTTTATTCAGACTTTGTATAGTCAGACTGTATGTACATCCCTGACTTTGTATTGTCATCTTCTGATCTGTGTTAACTCCTTTGGACTTCTGGACTGTTGGTGTCTAAAAGTTTACTGTCCATGAGAAAAGCCTGCAGCTGTTTCTTGGTGGCCTGTAAGGTAACAAATAACTAGTGAGCCTTATTCTGTGGGCTACATGGCTCAGGTTCACAATACAATCGCCGATGTTGATGAGTCCATGCTTGAGTGCCTTCTGCTTTGAGCACAGTTGAACACAGGTGGTTTTTTTTTAACACAATATATCTTTAACTTGTTAAGAAATATGAGAAAACAGTTAAACTGTAGTTGTCGAAACAACCCAATGATCAAGATCCATTAGGGATGAAGTGATGGAACCAGGTAAGATCAAGAGTCTATATGCCATGTCTGTCCTCTTCCCAGGATGCCCGTAATCTCTTCTACTCTGAGTGAGGAAGAGGTCGAGATCCCTCCTCCACGTGACATCAGGTAGTTTGGGAAAGTGGTCAGGACATGTGAACAACATCATCCTGCTCTTGGGGTCACAAGTAAGGCAGCTAACCAAAAACTCGTCCTGGAATCAGTCATTAAGCCAGTCATTGTTTGCTGTGGCCAGGACTGCCTCGATTCTGTGCGATGACCAGGGCCCGCTGAGTGAGTCCTGATTGAAGAATAGGGGAGTAATAGGAAGCAGCAGTGGCATCCGCTTCCTAAACGACTTGTCTCTGGGGACGCTATGAACTTTGATAGATGTCAATATAGAAAGGCTTCAGGCCTTTTGTTCATTGGGTTGCTGTGAGTCTTGCTCGACTGGACGGCAATCAAAAACAACAGTTAATATAGTAGCATCTCAACATTGCTGTTTCTGATGCATTTACAGAGAATTTTGGTATATATTGATTTACTAAATCCTCCTTAATAAGGAGCCCACGACTTAAAGACTCTCCTTTCCTGGGTTCTGGTTAAGGACTCAGAGGATTCTAGAATAAAGGGGCATAAGCAACAGAGCATTCCAGTTTTGCCTCTGACTTCCCGTTCTTGGTCTCTGGACTCCCACTGTGAGAGCCTGTGAGTGTGGAGGGTCGTTTGGATTGAGAAGCCCATGCCATCCTGCTGAGAGGAGAGGATGACAGTGCGTATAACCTTTGTTTCTCCTCCACCATGTGTGTGACGCTCCGTGGAGCCATTCAAGGGCTTTTCCTTGCCTTTGGCTTAAGTGTGAACGACGGGGGGGGGGGGGGGGGGGGGGGGGGGGGGGGGTGGCACTGAAAAGGTCTCAGTTGCCTCCAAACTGAGTAGAATTCACAATCGATATGAGAGCTACGTGAGAGACAAGGCTGGACAACATGGCTGCCTGCTGCCTCTAGATTTTATTTCCTGCCTGTTACATAATGGATTTGTTTGAAACTTCTGACAGGAAAGGACAAATACTTGCTTACCCTCGACCAAAGGATGGTCCTCCTTCTGTTGGAGACAGTTGTCCTCTTGAGCCCAATGCTCAGCTTTGGGTGGGACGCACGTGCAGTGGGAGGGAGGAAGGAGACACCCCTTAGCCAGTCAGGTCAGTCAAAGTTCTCCACAGGCTGCCAAAAGAACCAGCAGATACAGCGTGGAGAAAGTGCAACCAGAGTGCTCCGTGCGGACAAGACAAGGAGAGGCTTGAAGCTTTGCCTCACATATTTTGTGCATGTCGTTGTTGTTGTTGTGTGCCTTCAAGTCACTTGCGACTCATAGCAACCCTATGTACAAGAGCCCTTAACCCTGCCCTATCCTGTGCCAACCTTACTGTCTCTGACACACCTACCTCCATTACCCCAGTAACTGAATCGATCCATGTCATCGAAGGTCTTTCTCTCGTGCGCTGTCCCTCCACCCTCCCAAGCACGATGTCTCTCTCTAAGGACTGGTCCCTCCTTGCAACATGTCCAAAGTATGTCAGAGAAAGCATTCGGAATCATTCAGAAGCAGCCTGGTTTTACCCTCTCCTGGAAGAACCTGTTTGTTCTCCTAGCAGTCTGTGGTAAATTCAACTCTCCGTGTGTACCACACAGCTCAAAGGCATCAATTCTCTTTCTATCATCCCTAGTCACTACCCAGCTCTCTGATGCACAGCAAACGATTGTGAAGATTATAGCTTAGATCAGGCGCACCTTAGTCTCTAGCCTGATGTTGTTGCTCTTCAGTACTCTAGAGAGATATCTAACAGCTGACTTTCGCAACACAATTCGTCTCTTGATTTCCTGGCTGCTGGTTCCAAGAGTGTTGATAGTGGAACCAAGCAAACTAAAACTGTTAACAAACTCAGTCTCTTCACCATCCATAATGATGCTGCCAATTGGCCCCAGTAGTGAGAATTTTTGTTTTCTTGATGTTTAGCTTCAGTCCATATTGAAGGCTGCAGTCCTTGACCCTCTGCAGCAAGCGCTTCACGCCCTCCTCAGTTTCAGCAAGTAGGGCTGTGTCATCAGCATAATTCAGGTTGTTGATGAATCTTCCTCTAATTCTGATGCCACATTCCGCCTCATAAAGCCCAGTGTCCTGGATGACCTGTTCTGCACACAGATTAAAAAGGTATGGAGACTGAATAAATCCCTGGCAGACACCTTTCCAAATTTTGAACCATGCAGTGTCTCCTTGCCCTGTTCTGACGACTGCCTCTTGGTCCAAGTATAGGTTTCGCATTAGCACAATCAAATGTTCTGGTATTTCCATTCTTCTCAGAGTCAGCCACAGCTGCTTGTGATCCACACAGACAAAAGCCTTTGTATAGTCAATGAAGCACAGACAGACATTCTTCTGGTATTCTCTGCTTTCCGCCAAGATCCATCTAACATTAGCTATAATATCCCTAGGACCACGACCTCTTCTAAATCCAGCCTGCACTTCTGGAAGTTCTCTGTTGACGTGTTGCTTCAGTCGTTTTTGTATCATTTTCATCAGAATCTTG